TTCACTGATAACATTGGTCAGGTGAAATCTAAAAAAAAAACCTTTGTGTAGAAATTATAGGACATTTAAGAAACCATGAAATAATAGTGCAGGTAAGGCAGAGCTCATGAAGGTGATAGATACTCAGAGAAGTAAAACACAGGCTTATGTAAGCTCAAATCCCTTCCAATGTAAGAATCCTGTGATGCTGTTCACCTCAGGCCCGGATTCTACTTATTTATTGATTGTGTTTGCAGTTTTTCCATTTGTATCGATCACACAGTATGTTTAGGTTGGATGGTGTAACATCACAAAAATAATTTTAGCTTTCATGCTATCTATATTTTCTGGATAACAGAGTGAAAGCTTTAATGTCACATTGGAAGACTTTTATACAGTCAGTGGAATGCACAAGCACAAACATCAGGGTTCTGACGTGGGCTAGGAGATAGTAAATACACTGAAATCCTGTTAGAATGCTTTGTAAGGGCGACACTCTACTCTCACATGGAATCATAGGCTGATTGTGTACACAAGAGTTTTACTGAACACTTGCTTTAAAGAAGAATCTCTGTCACAGCAAACCACATGATAAAAGCTTTTCTGAAGATCTATCAGTGAGCTCTACAACACTGTATGAATTTGTTATTGAAAATAATAACAGATATGGCCAAAGAGGACTCCATAATGGAAGCAGTAATACTGTCATATTCTTTATGAGTGGAAAAACGCTAATGTGTCAAGACTGAACAGATGCAAATGGCTTATTTATTTGCATATGCCATGAGCTATCTATGCATTTGATGATAAAGCTTCAAGAACAGGATTTGTAGCTTGGCATAAAACTCAGAAAGTTAATTGGAAAATAATTCTAAGATGATTGGGCCTTCTCTAGGAAAATCCCCATGGTACCTCTCGGTGGCCTGGATTAGCGTTTATCTCTGATGCGTGGTTCATTGGTCCAAGGACTTGCACAGACCATGAATTCTCACCCTGCAAATGGAGAGACCAATGGACTTGCATCTAAGAGGAAAGAGCAGGACTCTGAGCGTCCCAGACACTGTCTCCCAAGGAAAGAGTGAGTGCACTGACTACTCAGGTAGAGAGAATTTCAGGGGATTGGACCATATTGTCAGATATTTGAAAGACTGTCATGGAACAGGGATGAGACTCTTCTTGTTATTTCAGAGTGCAGAGCTAGACTCAAGGTGGCATGACGGGAAGGAAGTAAATGCATGGATAGACTGGATTATGTGTGCAGTACTGCACTGAGTGTTGTGCATGTGGTCTCCTCTGCTCTAATTCTCAGAGTCCCTGAGTGATGCTATTACTTTGCTCCCCGCATGCTGGGGATGGAGCCCAGGGCTTGGTGCATGCTGGGTATGTGCTGTATGCTGAAGCACATCCCCAACTACTACTACTTCTACTAGTAGTAGAAATTCTTTTGGCCAGCATTAAGAAAATTACGCTCATTATCCTTTTATATCCTCACAACAGTCTCAGGAGATCAGCACTGTTCTCCTGTCCACTTTCCCCATGAGGGACTCGGGCACCAGGGTTAAAGCACTTGATGATGTCACAGTCAGTCAATATCACGTGAGAACAGAGCTGGCCAGGCTGGCTCTAAAGTGAAACACACTTCACCCCTATGTTATTCTGCTTCTCTGTTCAGCACATGTGCTGTGTGTTAGACCCTGGACGGGATGGTTTCCATCCTCTACGCTACCTGGCAAGTTGAGTGTTATTATTCCCATTTGACAGAAAAAGCTGAAGCTCAAAGGATGCAAGGGCTTTTCCCAGAGCCGAGGACGCAGCCAACGTTGCTGCCCAACACCAGTCTGCAGCTCTAGGCTCTGGAGCAGGCTCAGGCTCAGGCTCCTCGGAGGTGCCGTATCTGAAATGGAAGCTTTGCAGGCAGAGCAGTCAGCACCTGCTGTGGGTACTGGGGCAGGGAGAGGGCTTGGAGCCTCCCTGCCTCTGTAATCTCCAGTGAAAATTCATGTCGTCCCGGCAGGGAGGGTTACTAACCAAGGAGGGTGGAGGTGGAGGGCTTTGCCAGGTGAGTAGGGATCTTCCAGATCAGGTGGGATCTCCGTCCCTGTCCCCTCCCAGCTGAGTATCCACTGCCTTGGTCAGTCTTCCTGTGCTGTGTACCAAGTGCCCAGTTTGGGCAGGTGTTTCCCTCGGGAGTCGCCGCTGTAACTGCCTCCCCTGCGCCATCTGATTTTCGGCTCCAAGGGTCCGAGGGTGGCAGTGTCTTCCTCCTTGCGATCTCTGGTGAGGATGTCACTGTCCTGCACCCTGCCCTGTGCTGTCTTCCCAAGCCATCCCTTGCTTTGTACTTTGTTCGGTCAGTGCTGGGGTCATTGCTTCTCGGCCTTTTGGCTAAGATCAAGTGTAGTGCCGGGTTCGTGGGACCTGTGGACACTTTGCATTTGCATTTTCTTGCTCCCTGCTCCTGGATTTCCTGCCCTAAGCCCGCCCTTAGCACCTCCTGGGTGCCTTCATCTTCCAACTTTGTGTCGATACCTGGGTGCTAGGGGTGCATCCTCTCTGCTGGTCCTGCTGTTTGCTTTGGACACCTTCTCTCATTTCCTCTCAGAGCTGACAAGCATTTCCGGTTTTCTGTCCACTCCTCTCCCTCTGCTTTTATGTTGCTTGGACTTTGTTGAACTGTTCACTCTGCCAGACGATCCCATGTTTCTCTGAGGGTGGGAAAGGAGGTTGAAAGTGAATCAAGAATCAGAGTTGCTCGCTCTCTCAGAAGATTTCTCACTCAGTCTGGAGCTGAGCTGGGGACAGGTTCTGTATTGGGTGGACATCAGCTGCTGTGGTGTGGGCAGAGTCGCAGAGTGGAGGCCTGTCTACGGTTGGTTTCTTTACGTTCTGCCCCATGCATTCAAAGCAATGGCTGTGAGGTCCCTCTGACAAATCGGGTGGATCCCAAGGATTTTGATGCAAGAGTCGTGCCTGTGACTTAGCTGAATTACAGAACAAGTAAGGTGGTCTCTTGGTTTACATGTTACCATTAGCATGAAAGCTGCAAACACACACATGGGCACACACATGCACACACACATGAGACTGGGTTTATTTACAGCTTCAGTGGTCCAGTACTTGATTTGTTAAATTTCTAATCAAATGCTGGTGGATGCAGAGTAAATACAGAGAAGCCCAGGATGGTGAATATTTTAATTTTGGGGTAGGCACACCCCTGTCACTCTCCCAGGGTGACAGAATTAGCTGAGCAGGGAGCAGCCTTTGATCTGGGAAACCTGCTTTGGGCACACGGGGGACGCTGGTCACACGGAGTCTCTGTGATGGAGAGGAGGACACCAGACACTGTTATACATAGACAAGCAACACTGGCTATAATCAGGAAGGCGCTTGGGTTACCGATGAGACCTCAGTGTATCCGTGAACTTTCTTCCCTGCACCAGCGTGTTCGTTTAGAGCCTTCACTGGGAAACCCACTACTCTTTTTGACAGAAATTCAACTTTTTTTTAGGCTTCCCGTTAGACCCCCTGTCCCGTTTCCTGATTCCTTCCTCCTTCCCTCCTCTCCTTTTTCCTGTCTTCTTCTTCTCCTCCTCTCTCGTTCCTTCCTTTGCTTCCTTTCTTACAAAGATAAAGGGAAAAGATTCTGTATTAAAGAAATTTGAGACTATCCAAGTTACATGCTGGTATCTTCATTTTCTCACTGAAATTGCCATTCTTAAAACAGATTGTTCCTTTAAAAAGGGGGAAGGTTAAACAAAACCTATATAGGAATTGGAATCTTGCATGGGTATTTTGTTGCTGGTGGCTGCATGCTAATTCTCATGCGTGGGGTTGTGGTGTGAAATATAGTTCTTTATTTAATGTCTTACACTCGGATCTTTGCATTGCATATTTGCTTCTCTTGTGACCTTCTCTTTGCATTTATAACTGCTTGTTTCACCCATAATCCGAAAATAAGCATGCATTCCTTCAGAGAAATTAAAGGAAACTGTCAGTGGAGAGTTAATATAGTTAAAGCATCCTTAACTCTGCTGCAAACCTCTTAAATAATTAAAACTGTATGTGCGAGGAGTCAGATTTGCATTTCTCTCCCAAGTTTATTTAGCACACTTTGTTACAGTCAATTAAATGAGAATGTTCTGTTTCATTTTCCTTGGCTTTGGGTTGATCACTTTGCCTTTTGATTCTTATGCCCTAGTGTAATTTCACAGTGCTTAGGTCTCTAAAACCTTACATGTATTCATGTATGGGTAGATCTATACAGACACATTAGCGTGCACTCGGTTTGGGCTCAATAGAATCTTCACCCCGGGCACTGGAGCATTTCCAGCAACCTGCAGGAAACCAGCACTGCAGATAACTCATGGTGCTGAAGTGGGCCCGGCAGAGGTCCTCTAACATCCGGTTTCCTTTCTTAAGAACTCGGCTGTTCGGTATCACTTTCCCTACCCACGATTTGATTTGTGACTCTCTTAGCAAAACAAGATCCAGGTGCTGAATGGTGGCGGGGAGGAGGCTGTGTGAGTGCCGTCTCTCCTCACCTCAGTTGGCAGAGCCTGTGTGGAGGGCTCGCTGGAAATGAGCTCATTGCTTAAATTATGCATGTTTAAGAAGGAATAAATAAGTTGTCTATTTCCTAATGATAGTGGGATCAGTTGAAGCATGATGAGAGGAAAAATAGCATAATTTTGCATCCTGAGTTGGGGATCAGCATCCCTAAGATTCATCTGAATCACTCTTACCCATTTCCTGAGTTCTTAATGACTCTGTGTAAGATGTTAATTTCTTTTAATTTTCCTGCCAGGTAAGTAAGATTTTTGAACTTGGTCCTGTGTGGTTGTGGCTGAGGAATGCTGTGTCATCCGGTGGCCCAGCGTGGCCCTTGTTCCAAAGGGACCCTCCTGCCTCTGCCCCATTTGGTTTGGGTGTGTGCACGGCTAACAGTCTGTATGTATGTGCGATGACAATTTTGAGGGTTCTGACGTGTTTAACTGTTATGGGATCTGTTATGTCTACTTTAGGGTCGACCCCATCCCATATGACACTCCAAAACCAGCGGGCCACACGCGATTTGTCTGCATCTCAGACACACACTCCAGAACAGATGGTATCCAGATGCCTTACGGGGACATCCTTCTCCACACAGGCGATTTCACCGAGCTGGGACTGCCCTCAGAGGTTAAGAAGTTTAATGACTGGTTAGGTAAGGAATGATTGTGTTCTGGCCGCCCCAATTAACCTTTCCCGTCTGAGTGTCACTCACTGCGTCCTAATTGAATTAAAGCCCTTGGAAGCCGGTTCAGCCATTTCTCGTATGATATGCGGCGGTGTCTAGCTTTAATCCAATTCTGTTAATTAAAGATGAATTTTTAGATATTTAATTTTACTGTGCATCCTTTCAGTGCTGGCCTCAGCGGTGCTGGGGCAGAGGGACGGGAAGCTTTGAAAGCGATCTCATCACACTCCTGCTTTAATGAGGGTGTTCGCTGGCACACACGAAACCTGGAATCAGATTTTTAATTCACTGGCTCTGCAGTCTTTCCGAGATATTATGATCAAAGACGTACAAATGACCTAGTCGTAAGAGAACATTTCTAAGAAATGCAAGAGGGTGTCAGAGTCATCACAGGAAGTGAAGTTCGTCAGCACAGGGCGGCTTGGGACAAGCTTTGTAAGGGTCATGAAGGGAACCTTAAAATGCCCTGAAAAGAGCAGATGCCCTGCTGTAAGACTCTAAAAATGTGCAATGTGAAACTGCCCTGTGTGTGAGAAGAGCCCACAGTTCAGGGTTCTACAAAAACTGGGATCCGGGTCAAGCATTTGGCAAACGTTAGCAGTCCTGGAGTTCATCATGCCGTGTCTACCAGAGAAGTCAGTTCTGGGGCAGGGGCAGCTCAGTGCAGAAGTGTTTGAGCCTGGCCTCCATCCCACCCTGGGTTCCACCCCCAGAACTGCATTAAAAAAAGAAAGAAAGAAAAAAAGAAGACTTCTTTTTTTTTTTTTTTTTTTTTAACAATCTTCCTTTCTTAGGGAAAGGAAAGAAGTACAAGCATTCTGAGAGTTCAGACTCTTTAAAGACACTGAAGGATTACGCAGTAAAGAGAAGAAACTACTCTGGAAGAAAAATGCAATAAATATTATGGTAGGCAATAAAAATTACCCAGGAGACTCAGGCAGAAACTTTAAGATTTTGTTTGCCATCAAACTGAAGCAGGGTTTGAGAAAGTGTTAAATTATGGATTAAATGGTAAAATGTATGTGTTAATGGAAAACTGGTCTTCACTACATTGGGTAGAATGTTTTAAAAATAAACAGTAAGTCTAATAACATCACTATTATGATTTTTTATGGGCTCTTGCACATCTGTCCGGCTTATAGACAGCTGGCAGCAGGGTATATACCGCTTTTACTTGTGTCTTTTTCATTTATTGGTGAGACTTTAGGTGTTTGTGCATAACTCCCACATTTACCTTTCTTAATACCAACAAACCAATTGTGCTGTTGATTACTCCTGTATTTGGCAAGACGTGTTTCTAAAATGAACCTGTAAACTGATGTCAGTCTTTCTGTTGGTGGCTAGCACTGGGATGTGTATTTTCATGTGTTCGTGGTTTTTTGCCTCCCTTGGGCTGTTTCTGAGCAGCCGGTACTAGGTGTGACTTACCTGCCTGAGCATGGGATTCTTTGTGGCCCTGGCTGCTGCTGGCACCCCTGTTTTCCAGGGGCCTGTCACTGTGAGCATCGATAGTGTGGTGTGCACATCTCAGTTCACCAGACCTCGGCAGCCTTGCGTGTCGGTGCTGTGGTATTCCGTGCTCTTTTACTAGGGAGTCGGTCTTATTTAAAACAGTGAGATATTTTAAATACTCCCTAACCTGGCCACCTTACTGTACAGACAACACAGAGACACAGCTAAGTGAAGTGACTCTCCTTCCCGGGGTGGCAGAGTTAGTCTGTAATCCAGACCTTTTCCTTTTCATTGTTCTTCCTCTCTAGCATTTGTTCCCAGGTACGACCCCTTTTCTTTTAGCCACTGTTATTTGTGAACTCTGAGTTAAAATCATTTTGGGGTGAATCTTCACAGTGTTAACCATTCCGTGACAGGTAGGTCTCGGCACAGACGTGGTCCAGCTGCCTGGACCTTGTTGGGTTCCCAGCCGGGACCCGGGCAAGCACCTGTGAGGCTCCAGGTGTCCGCTCCACTCGCCCGGACTGTGGTTGAGTTCACCTCCTCCCGCCCAGCCTTCCCTCCGCAGAATGAAGGATTAATACTACCTGTGTTTCTGGATTGTTGTGCAGATTAATCAGTAAATGATTGCTGCTGGTGAGCTTTTGTGGGCCATTAATAACTGAATGGGGAATGTGGTGAGTGAGCCATCAACAGATATTTAAAGGCTAAAAACAAGAAGAGGTCAGAGGAATTGTTTGGTAGGAGAGGTAAACACTGGGAGGTTTTTATAAGGAAATGTACTCCGTAAATGGAAATGTGCTGTAACTAAGGAAATAAAGCGATAAGGAGATAAAATGCGAGGGCCCCGCCACACGGTCAGCTCCTCCTGTTCTCCTCTCTGCTCTGATCTTGCCAGGCTGGAGGAAGAGATCTCAGCATGGGGTGCAGAATGAGACCAAAGAAAGCCCTTGGGGTGTGGGTAGAGAAGTTGGATCCCACAGCAGGCTGAGAATAGTTTGCTGTTACCCTGGCAACCTCCGAGGCCCCGAGGGTGAGGGAGTGGTGACCGTGCTGGCCTCTGGTGCAGTCAGGGGCCTCTCCAGGGAAAAGGTGCCCTGCAGTAGACACAAGGTGGCCTGGCAGAGTGGAGGCGGGTCAGGTCCGTGTAGGGTCGGCTCACGGTGGGGCCTGGCCTAGATACACGGTTTGTATCTAGACTTCCCCTTGAGTGTGCTGGGCTCCAGACTGAGCTTTCAGAGGAAGGTGGCCAGGGGCGTATCGCTGTTTTGCGGTTGGGTGGGGGTCTGGCTGGGGAAGGGTCCCTGGTGGGCGGGCGGTGTGGGTGTGGCCAGATGAGTCCATCGCCCTTCCAGCTCCTTCCTGATGCTCAGCTTCCATGCACCTGGCCCCTGTGCCCTGCATTGCTGCCTGCAAGCCAACAACTACGGATGAAACTTGAGCCAAAATACCCTCTCTTCTTTTAATTTGTGAGCGTCAGGTGTTGCGTCCTCGCAACGCTGACACAGCCTTTCTCTCTCGCTGGCACAGGTCTCGCGGGCAAGGCAGGCCTGAGGGGCGCACCTGGGATTGGGTTCCATCTTCACGTCTAGTCTGGGCTATGCTGATGGGAAGCCGCCAATTGTCCCCAGGCTTCCTCCTCCCACTGGTCCATTGTGCCTACCACAGGCAGGTGGGCTTTTGTCCCTAGAGCAACCTCTAGAAGATGTCCGTGATTCCCAGCTCAGCTGGGGAACTGTCTCCAAGCTCCTCGAGGCTCAGAAAAACTAAATAATCTCACTCAGCGGGTCCCTAGGCAGTTTCACATCCAGCCTGAGCCCTTTTCCTTGCTTATTCTGTGATACTAAGAGTGGACTTGGGGGACCTGGGAATCTGTGGAGATTTTAGGCTTCAGCTAAGGAAAGGCTGTAGCTTCTGGCTGTTCAGCAGCTTTGAGACCCGTGCTAACCACATGGTATTTGAAAGCTGTGTGCAAGTCCTGTCTGCCTCTGCCTAACAGCAGGACCCAAGGATCCCATCATGAGCTCCACTGAGATACCCAGTCCTGGCCTTATGTGCATCTGTCACCTGGCAGGTGTAACATCTGAGATTGCCGGCCCTGGGTAATATGAGAGGAGGAGGCCCAGCAGGACAAGGGTTGTGGGGAGCTGCTGGGGGACCCCATGTGGAATCTGCAGGCTTTGATGAGTTGCTCGAGGCCCTGTGTGTGTGTCATCCTAACACAGACCCCACAGGCCCCATGGCTGTCGTGAGCAGGAATGTGGTCTCATGGAAAAGCTTGTGCCGATCTTGGAAGGACACTTGACATGTGAGGACTTTCAGCTGTGGTGTACAGGGAGACAGCAGTGGTGGTGCAGCCCCCAAAGGCAGGCTCTGAGGAGGAGTCAGGAGAGAAGAGGGGACACAGGGTGTGTCAGTCCTGATGTGGCTCGGACTGCACAGGGTGTTATGTGGAGGAAGCTGAGGGAAGCTTGGAGGTCATCGAGTCCTGCGTCGGAATTCGATAGAGCAAGTGAATCACTTTGGTTCTTGAGTAAATGAACAGCCCATTTGAGAGCGGAACTTGGACAGAGTGAGGCGGGAGGGTGAATGATGCACATTATCTGGTGGTGGAGTCCCGACTACCCCAGTTACAGGCGTCATTTTGTGCAGTCCTCTCAGTAATTTATGAAGTAGGGCTACCAACTTCTTCCTCACTCATGTGAGCTCAACTTACATAAAACCACACGGCCAGACGGCAAACTCAGGATCTGAGAGACATGCGCCTTCCTGCGGCCAGGGGTTGCGGCACTGTGGGAAAGAAGCACACGTAATCCTGCCTCGGTTCCTTTTTAGAGTAGTAGTTAAACACTGTTGTCCATTTAGCATTTCAGCTCCGACATGTGGTAGAGTGCAACAGAGAGGCTTTGGAGCTGAATGAGATCCTCCCACCCTACCTGAGAAGCTTGCCTTTGCTATCCTGACACAAGTGCACCCCCATCACCGACTTGGGTTAAAAATAAACTTGTTAGGTATAGAGCACCCGTGGCTAAAACATGGTTAGTTTTGTGCTTTTTATTGAATTTTGAGCACCACTGGCTCCTAATACTACCTCCCCGCAGGGTTGGACCGTGTTCTCCCCATTGGTGTCTCTTCGATGTTCTTGGCTGTTGGTGTGACTTCCCTCTGTCCTCGCGTGGTCAGAGCAGTGTGTGGCCTTCGTCTTAATCACGGTACATGCGCTGGTGTGTGCTGCTCAGAGAGACTCGAAGAGGTCATGTGTGTTTGCTTGTGCACTTTCCTCCTTCTGGCTTTCAAAGCCACCCCTTCCCCATGGCCCACATGTAGAGTATTATTGAACCTTGGAGTGTGTGAAGGACAAAAGGTGCACGACTTTTTGCACTTTGGCCCTGACTGTAAAATTACATAATACTGTGTGAATAGTGTCTACCCTCCCTTTCCTCTCCCCTCCCCTCCCCTCCCTTCCCCTTCTCTTCCCTTCCCCTTTTATCCTCAAAGAATTTATAACATCCACT